CCTGCGGATAAAACTAAACTTCTTTTTGCCTTTATTTTCTTCTGTCAAATATTTTCCCTTCATGGGGTAGACAAAAAGACTCATCTATTCTTTTCCGTTTCACTTTAAATTACCTCCTCCATCTTTCGAGAGACAATGGAAACTACTTTTGCCATCATGTCTATATCATCACCATTGGTATCTACAGTAAAAATGACCTAGATTATAAACACAATCTTGATCAGCATACTATATGGCCTACCACCTTGAATTATCCACTTGTAAAATCTACAATAATCACACAAGTTCAATATCTATTATAGGACAACTACAAACGTTGTCTTAATTCTCATTTCACTTCTTACTATATTACTTCTAAAAATTCGCATCGTGTAATAAATCAGTCAGTGAACTACGTTCAAATTTCGATGCTGCCACTGATTCTACTTTAAGATTAAAAAAGATATCTCCGCCAGCGGCAGATTGCAAAACTCACGTTCCTCTTTTTCTTTTTTTTCCTTTTCGAGCCGAACCTCCACGAGTGGCTCAGACTACTGGAGGATGGGTATTTTTAACGAGTCACCATTTTTAAAGTGATCATAAACCGAGGCTGATCATTAGCAAGCCAACGGGTTTTGAAACCAGAGTTGTTCTTTTTCTAGACTGGCTGCCAACCAAGGCTAGAAAATTCAAGTCTGCCTTTCTATTTAATCCATATATGCGGGGAGAAGAGACGGATTTATACTTTTCCTAATGGTATTTGTGCTAAAGTGAATGTAACGAACTCGGCCGGAATTTCCAAGTAAATATTTCTATCAAATGTGTGAAGGAAGATCTTCTCCAAAAGGCAATTCTTTTAATTTACAATACAAAATAATTCTTCGGAAAATCGAGTCTGACAAGCAGTTTAAATCTATGTTTACGATTACACTTTTATTTTCTTCTCGTTTTGTTTAATGCTGTCAATGTTTCATCACCTACAATCTTTATGTTGCTGAAATCACAACAAAATGGATCATGGCATAAAAGCAGAAATATCCCTAGTAACACTTAAATGAGTTCCATATGAAATTCAACAGTGACTTTAGAAACTGTTCCAACATTGAAAATTCTTGAAAGAATGATTTATTCGAACTACTATACACTTGTTTATTGCATTTGAAGTAACGTTTTGGCTGGTCAGCTTTCAATCGTTTTGGAATCATTAGGACTATATGATTTACCTTAATTATCCGTATATAATACGCACCCCTAACTTTGGACTACGAAATTCTGGAAAAAAACGATTTTGTTTTTAATTGGCACTGACATTTAAAAAATTGTAGCAGCTAAATTTAACCTGAATTTAACGCCTTTTATACTTGTTATCCGATAGGTATCGGCCAAAAATAAAATTATATAGTTTACATTATCTTTTCCGTTTCTCATATTCTTTCACACTCAGTAACCCATTGCGTCTTAGTGCTTTTATTGCCTTGCTGATGTTGAAATGATTAAAAAACATTTTGGTGTTTTTTGTATTTTTTAATCAATTCACCTCGAAGCAAGGCGATAATGCCACTAAGAAGTAAAGTGGCTATTGGGAGTGAAACAGAATGAAAAGAGTTTAGAAGGAGCTGGAATCCGAATCTTAAACAGGAAAGAAGTAATAAATCTCTACTCATGTCCAAAAGACCAGGGAGGAGTGTAAACTGGGCGATAGGAAAATCTATCTACTCCTAACAAAATGTGCACAATATTTAGAGTAAACGCTGAATTCCAACTCTCCGACCAGAGCTTTCTTTCATAAGTCTATGGATATTGAAAGCCCGGCTATTGTGGCCAGTTAAGTGAAGATGACATCCTTCTTGAGGAAGAAGGATAAGATGACTCTGTGAACGATGAAGATTACTACGCTGATAACATAGAGGAAACTGTCACAACGTCGATCTTTGATATGAGCAGCAGTAAAGCAGACTAAAATGTGTTTAATATCTATTTGTACAATTCTTTAAAATAATTTAATGCAATGATTGGTTAGTCATTTAAACTCTTTGTTTCGCATTAGTTTGGACCATTGATATAAACTTTTTTTTTTGTTTTTTTTAAGTATATCACTCCAAGCAAGACGGGAGTGGCACTAGCACGCAAGCGGTTACAGAGAGTGAGAGTAAGTGTAAAGAGGAGTGTTTGGGAAATGGATAAAGAGAAGGACGTGGATCAAGGTTAAGGCATTTAAGTCATAACGTCCGGAATTAGTTTTCGTGTATGATACGCACCTACTAACATTTAGACAAGAAAACCAGGAAAAATGATGCGTATTAAAAGTAAACAAAGTAAATGGTTAACTGTTCGTTTTCTGTGTAAGCCGTTCTGTTAGGTTACAGAAGCTTGCACATGCGCGTTCGTGTCTCTTCAATATCTACGGAGCCAAACTGTGGTTTATAGTGCAACTATGCTGTGAGGACTTTAGTTACAGTTATTTGGGAGAGAACGCGTAACCTAGTGTGATCAGCTTTAAACAAGGCCAATATACTCAAACTCTGGGTCTCGATGTACTTCCTACTTTATGCTAGCAAAAACACTAACACTTTCATTAACAAGATTTGGTTTAACCCATGGTATGGTTTTCAAGCACTAAGTCGAACGATTATATTGCATCAATTGGTAGGTCTGCTGCTAGCGAAGGTTGGTTCAGTTTGGTTGTAGACATTTTTTCTCGCCAGAATCACATTTCATAGTCTACCATTCGTCCGTGCATCAGATATTGCCGCCGCATCTAAGTTGCTACTTTTGCTATATATCTAGAGATTCTTGACAAAAGCAAAAGAAGAATCTGCAAAGTTATCCTGATCTGGTATCTCGACTTCAACCACTTTCCTGCTGCAGTAAGCTAGCTTCCTTGTGCCTTTTCAAGGCAATTTTTCTGATGAGCTTTTCTCTTTGGTACCTCGAGTTTATGAATTTAAGCGCAATATTAGATTGGCAGCTAGGTATCATAAAATTCACTGTTGAAATTGATAGAAACGAACCATAAGTCCTATGCCAATAGTTTCTTTTCCCATGTGGAACTTTCTTCCTACTTTCCTGTCAACTACGGTCTTCAAAAAATTAAATGCAACGTCAATCTTCTGTCTCGTTGAATTCTGTTCTTTTATTGTCGCCTGTGTTTCTTTCATTCCTGGTAATCCACTTGCATCTTAGTAGCTTTATCACCTTACTTAAAGAAATTCTAAGGTAGTGCAAAATGGGATCATCTCTTCTGGCTGATAGTTTCATGAAGTTACCTCTTTGAAATGTCGATCATGTTGAGATTTGAACCCGTATCTCATGGGGGCAACGTTAACATTTTAACCCAAAGGCTAGTGTTATACACAGACAATTACGCTTTTTGAACTAATTTATTCTCTTTAGCTGCTTTTAACATAATATTTTCGTTGGTTTGTGTTGTAACCTAGGGAAGGTTACTGAATAGAATAATCACAGGAAGGTTGGCAATACACGACAATACTTAGGACACGATCAACACATATAAGATTCGCCAGCGGCGCGTAGAAGTAGTCAACTGCTAGAAGTGAGTCAAGTGAATTCCACAATGAATCTCCAACTGCAGGATATCTGCCAACCACCCCACGCGGTCAGATATAGCACAAGGCCGAATGTAACATGGGATATCCGAGCCCGTAGGCCCGGCCAAAATTTCCCCGCAGACCCTGCATAAAACGGGGTCGGTACAGGGTACCTGCTTCCCGAGACTAGACTCTGCCCTTCGACATAGCCTGGTCTCGGGATCCTCTCTGCCCGGAGGCAGAGAGTTTGACCAGCACATCTGGAGACGAATCTCCAACTACAGACCAACACACAGTATTTACTTCTGTATTTGTGTGAATGGCGACATTCCCATTATCGGTCGTAAGTATTCTAAAACAGTTTGTCATCTGGTTTTTCATCATCATCTCCAGATGATGAATGTGAAATACAAACAAAAAGATTTAAGTCAGAATCTAGATAAACTTTTAAAAATACTCCTTCAATAAACCACAAATATACAATGATACATCGTTTCATAAATATTGACAAAACAAGAGGTTTTATTCTAAATTCGCCACTATACGTGGTTTAATTATTTTCAAATTTCGATATTCTTCTGCTGTCAAAAGTTTATTTTTGTAAAGACCTTCTCACTTTGTGAGAGTGAGAAAATGTATAAAAATCTATAACAGCTATTTTATTTTGTCAAAGTAGAGCAGTGTTGATGACCTTAAGAGTTCTGTGCGAGCGATGTTTTGCGAGTTGAATGGTAAATGTTTGTTGTCCCAGTGTCAGGCCCAAAGAAAGTTGCAAAGCATTGTTTCATCGGCTTAAACTACGTTCGCACTTGTCTGATAGTCTTTCCATCTGTTCATCCACAGAAGCGACCTAAGCGTTATAATGTTAAGAATCTCCAGAGACCAGCCGAGCACTAGATGATGTTATGTCCCTTGGTGCCGATAGAGAGTGAGAGAGATGTTCTAGTCATAAGGCGCGGTTCTTAGTCGATGATTGGCTGACAAACAAACTGGTGATAAAGCCAAGATACGCTTCGATGGGCACAGCACATAATGCTATGCCTAAGATGGGTTACTGCAGTCAAGTCTTCTACTCTTATACACATTGTATATATAGAAATATTATTACTACTTTCTTTTTGTAGGTAAGATGATTCGAAAGCCGATAGTTCTTATGGTAATGCCGTGTATTTGTGGGTATTGGGATTTTATGAGAGAATATGTCGATATCATGAATGCTAAGTTTAGATTAATTTGCCATTAGGTTACAGATATCGAATACTCAATAAGGATTGAAATCTTTATAGTTTCATCCATAGCGTTATAGGGTGGGCCTAGAGGGTTGAATTCCTTTCACTTTTTTGTTGAGCCTGAGAACTAAACAAAACTAAATCTGTCTTCTTGGCCAATGCCATTGAGTTATTGTATCATTTACCTAAAATCATTACTACCATTAATTTTCAAAATAAATAAGAGAGCTACAATTCTACAGATTGACGGCCATATCACGTTCGAACACCGGTTCCCATATGATCCTCGAAGTTAAACAACGTCGAGCCTGGTCAGTACCTGGGTGACTGATGACCGCTAGGGAATACTATGTGCTGTAAGCTTGAATATGCGGGTGGTGTAATGGATAATGTCTCGAAATTGTTAATCAGAGAGCCGAGTTCCAATTCCAGGGAGGTTCGTTATATTCACAAACGCGCAAATAACCTTTGGAAAAGTATGAATCCACTTCTCCCCCTAGATGTGTTAATTAGTAAGTAAATAATTATTATATATATATATATATAAATTATTACAATCTAAAATTAATTTCTGGCTTTTATAACCTGTAATGGGTTGATAAACCTTGGAAATCGAATCAGTCAACATACAATTCTATTCTTTTTTTTTCATAAAATTAGCTGCTAAAACCTTTATATGTCTTATATGCAGCAAATGTCTATAGTTTTCATTCCAGAACATAAGGGGAATAGATAGGGTCACCCAACACGAGTAGATAGGTTCGCCTATCGTCCGATTCACAAGCCTCCCGGATCTTTTGAACAGGAGTAGAGGTTTATCCCTTGTTTCTTGCTTAGGATTGGGTTTCTGGTTCCTTCTAAAGTCTTTTCAATCGTTTTCACTCTCAGTAGCCCCATGTGTCTTAATGGCATTATCTCCTTTACACTATTTATGCTGTTCACCCTTTGTCCTTATCTTTATTGTCGTATTCACGATGTTACGGCCGTTGTAAACTCCGGCCTTCTTCAGGTGATATACGTTGGAATTTTGAACCGAACCCGTTATTTAGAGGGTAGATTGTTCTAGTTCCACGTGCCATACCTTTTCTGGATATCTCAATTTTCAGTTTATTTTCTTTAGTAACTCAACCAAATATCACCCGAAGAAGGCCGGAGCGTACAACGGCTGAAACGTCGTGAATTTTGACAATAAAGATGATAACAACAGTCCGAACAATGTAAATAGTGTTAATAGTTGCAATAACTCATCTCTGAAATATAGACAAAAAAAACAAAAAACAAAAAACAAAAGAATAAAACAAACCAAAAAACGATTATTTAAAATAAACAAATTAAAGAAAAAGAAACGCTTACAGTGCAATAATATTTATTTTATGAGAAGTCTGGGAACCAGCGAATGTAGCTCCTCAGAGCAGTTACCATGAAAGTATTTGTAAAAAAGACAGAGAGAGGCGACGGCGCGTCTGTGAGAGAGCGACTGTAGACGAGACGCCAGAATAGGGCCAATTATATTGCATATCCGCTCTATTCCAGTTTCCCTGAGAACTATAATCTCCAACTATTCAAATGTAAAGTCAATCGACATCTCCAGTTGCCTTGATCTATCCACTATCCTTCTCCTCATACTTTCCTCTATCACTCCTATCTGATCTTGCTCCAAATCTTCTGTAACCCCTTGCGTCCTAGTGGCTTCCCGCCTTGCTTGGGGTGAAACGCTTAGAAAAAAAAAATTAAATAAAAATATATAATCAAGGATCTTTAAAATTTATCTGTATCTGATTGAGACCCCCCCACCTTTGATTTCGTCCCCTCCCTCTATATTTTTAATTTTATTTTATGGCATCTTGCTTGAGTCTGTGAGACAGGCTTACTAACGACCATTTTACGACGAGGCTAGAAACAAAGCCATTTGTATAGGGTACCGATTAAGAATCGTGCTTACTACAGTCATAATGATTTGCTAGTTGAGCTTACGGGTCATTACAGCACAGTGGCACGTCTGACACGAGTGCCTTATCATAGGTTTATACCTATTTACTAAGCTTGATAGTCTCGTATTAGATTACAAAAAAAGAATAACTGACTAAAGTAGTAATGGCTTGATACATTAATTTTTTTTAGTCTTTCTGTATCTACTAAACTAGCCTATCCATGACGTGTTTTAAACATGACATGATACAATTAACCATCATATCGATGAGCGTGACGTATCCTTAAAAAAAGAAGAAGCATATATTTGTGTTTGGTCAAATAAGAACAATACCACATTTATTTTACAAGATAAAGCAATTTCTAATATTAATTTGGAAGACAGCAGACAGCTCAATCTTAGAAATGCAGGTTCTTCCTCCATATCTCCATTTACATAGAAGGCAAAACATTATGACTACCGACATATAACTAGAATAAGAGCTACTATCTAGTAACAACTGCGCTTGACACTGTCTGAGGTCTGTAAGCAGGTCAGCCGTCTTCAAATAGTTCATGTTCGTGTGTTGAATAGCGCAGTTATGGGCAAGATGAAAGTTTTCGGTAAAAGTGAAATTGCTATGTTGAGAGGATTAGGTCTAATCCCTCCCGAAAAGGAATGGCTATGGCTCATAATTAATTACAGTGAGTCCGAAGAGAGAAAATCGCCAAAAGAGGACAAGGCATATTGTCTGCCTGAAATCTTTTCGGCTAGAGGATCGAACTATCTTCCTTTGAGCAGAGAGGAACCCAGACAAGGCCCCGCCGAATGGCAGAGTCTCGTTCGAGGAGGTTGACTGACCCTGAACCCATTTATACGTGTTGGAAGGGGAATATTTTTGGCCGAGAGAACCCACATGCAACTCTCGTGGGGTGAGGGTGGCTAAATATTCTAACCGAAATCTTTTCGGCTAGACGGTCGAACTTTCTGCCTCTGAGCAGAGAGGAACCCGGACGAGGCTCCGCCGAAAGGCAGAGTCTCGTTCGGGGAGGTTGACTGACCCTGAACCCGTTTATTCGGATTCGAAAGGGAATATTTTTGGCCGACCCTACGGGCTCGGAAGACCCACGTTAAATTCGACCTTGTGCCACATCTACCCTAAGTGGGGAGGCTTGTAAATACCGTCTAGCCGAAATCTTTTTCGGCTGTCAAGTCGAAATCTCTGCCTCTGATCAGAGAGGAACCCACGGATAGACTTGCGACGACCGTGCGCATAACTGTTACCTTATTTCTTATAGTACTGTTTTTTACAATAAACCTTTACTTATTTTATCCACTGTGTTTGTTAAGTATATATTTCTTTTATCACGGAATATAACATAAAGTTAATTGCATACTATCAGTTGCTAAAGTCAAATGTGAGAGGACATTTTCAAAGCTAAAGATCATAAAGACGAGGTTATGAAATCTGCTGTCTGAAAAGAGCTTGGAATCATACATGTTGCTATCCACTGAAAAAGAATTTTTAGATGAGTTGGATGCAGAAACATTTATTGACAGATTCGAACAATCATTTAGTGAACACAGAGCATTGCCCTTAATATAGTGAACTGTATGCAATGATCTATTGTGCTTTTGAAATAATGAACAAAAAAAAAACAAAAAATGTTTTAAGACTTTTAATTATCATCTTTTTATTACAAATTATGATAAATTGTTTTGTTTGGGTTAATAAATAAATCATAAAAACTACATGTTATATTCTGTGTTAATAAGAATATATACTTGAAAAACACGGTGGATAAAATAAGTAAAGGTTTATTGTAAAAACCAATACAATAAGAATAAAGGTAACAGTTATGTACAAGGCCGTCGTAAGTCAATCTAGTAGTAAGTGCTACTATTAGAAAGTCGGTAGTTCTCGCGTAAGTCTGATTCGTACTCAACAGATCCCAGCTAGAGTATATAGCAACTGACCCACGCAGTCACATGTGGCACAAGGCCGAATTTAATGTGGGGTTCTCGAGCCCGTAGGTTCGACCAAAAAATCCCCGTAGACCCCGCATAAACGGGATCGGGTCAGTCTACCTCCCCGAACGAGACTGCCCTTCGGCATTGCCTCGCCCGGGTTCTTCTTTGCTCGGAGGCAGAGAGTTCGACCAGAATAGCTGAAAAAGATTTCAGCTGGAGTATCTAGCAACTGCCCCACGACCGTACAGCCGAAAAAGATTTCAGCTAGACTCTGTAGTCCGTTGACATACAGATGCTTTTAGGTAGTTACTACCGATAATATAGTCACTCATGGGTTGACAGGTTATTCCATTACATCAGTACACATTTTTAATCTCTTTTGATCATCATAATTTAAGCGTGCCGCGGAAGTTTAACTATAGGTTGAAGTGTGACGTGAGATAAAAAAAAAAGGTAGAAAAAAACTAGATTAACTTTTACATCGTAAAATCATCGGATTATTTGATCTCTCGTTTTATTTCAGTTTTATATTTTGTCTTCTTAGCTAATTCCACTAAAGTCTACTGAATGGTAATTCAAATATTTTAATTTTTTTTACCTGTACCTTACCCAGGGGTGGATTTTGGCTAATAGAAATTTGGACCACTTCATTATCGATGTTCGCCCCTCCCTGTGTCTTTAAAAAAAATATATTTTTTTAGATGGTGCGTAATGAAGTATAAAATTGAGCAAAAGTGAGTAGACAAAATTATACAAAGCTAAAAAAGCTACATAAAAAAAGTCTATACGTATATAAAACAGATGCATCAAAATCTAAATGGAGCCCCCTTCATGAGCCGCCATCGAATTTAAAAGACCCATTCCAATTACACGAACTCAAATGCTCTAAATTGTTCCAAATTAGTTCAAATGAACCCCATTAAATCTGAAAATAAACAAATCTCCTTTGTTATATTTGTATTTTTTTTACTTTTATTCCAAGTCTAGAAGGCCCTTGAAGTCCTTCTATTCTTGGGGCCCATGAACTGCATCCCATACTAACCCTAACCCATACTAGCCCATATATAAATATGTCACTGACCTTACCGTTTATTAGATTCGATATTTCGTATTAAATTTGTGTTCCTTCCTTCGGTGCTATGCGTAATTCACGCTAAGATGATCATGTCTCCATTCGATGCATGATTGACTTAGCAGAAGATTTCCTGCAATAGGCTGCCGTTACTTTCTGCAGTAGACTGGTTGCCAACCAAGGCTATAGAACCCAATCTGTCTTGCTATTTAACCCATAGCTGGTGGGTGAGAAAAAAAGATGGATTCATACGTTTCCCAAGAATATTCCATCGTACCACTCACGCATCTAAGCTGACAGCACCTGTTATGCCCAAGCGGTCCCCCATCCAGCTACTGAACAAGCTCAAGGTTCTGTGATTGGGGAGAACCGATATAAATAAATAAATCACTGTAACTAGGAGCGGTAG